TGGGGTTTGATTTTTTTATTTTTTTTGTTTACCATACAGAGAAGGTTCTGTGGTGTTCTGGAATGTTGAAGAAAAAACTGTGAGTAGTAGTTCTGTTTTATTCATAACTGAACATTTGGAATAATTAAGATTTGTAATGGTTTTGAAAGAAGACTTTTATGCTCACCAGGGCTGCATTTATTAGCTGTTTACAGTAAAAAAACAGCAATATTGTGAAATATTATTTAAATTATTATTATTATAAAAATGCAAAGCTGAATTTTCAGCATCCTTACTCCAGTCTCCAGTCCAGCGTCACATGATGCTTCAGAAATCATTCTAATATGCTGATGTGGTGTTCAAGAAATGTCTTATTATGATTAATGTTGAAAACAGTGTCGAAAAGAAGAAGCATAAATGCTTCTTGAAGTCAGAAAGTCAGCATATTAAAATAATTTCTGAAGAATCGTGACACTGAAGACTGGAGTAATGATGCTGAAAATTCAGCTTTGCATCACAGGAATGTGTTGCATTTTAAAATAGTCAAATAAGAGTTGTAGTAATATTTCACAGTATTACTGTTTTTACTGACTTTTTGATCAAATAAATGCAACCTTGGTGAGCCAACCTTGATGTACCTTACTCAGGTAAAGACAGTGATGAGGATACTGGAACAGCATGAAATTCAACCCTATGAAGTCGCCCTAGTCCACTGGGAAAATGAAGAGATCAATTATACAGTAGGAGAGTGAGTGAATATATGCAACATATATTAAAGGGGTCCTATTATGCTTTTTCACTTTTTTAATTTGAGTCAGTGTGTATGTTTGGGCATAAAAAAGATCTAGAAAGTTACAAATCTCAAAGTCCACTCCAAAGGGAGATATTTCGTTTTTCGGACTACAGCGTTTGTTTTCCGGGCTTTGTGATATCACAAAGCGGCCCATTTGAATATCATTAAAAATAATTCCTGCCTACAGAAATTCGATTGGTTGGGGGGTGGGGAGGGGCGAGGTTGTGGTTAGAACACTTGGTTGAGTGAGCGCATCAGACGAGACGACGAAGAAGAAGAGCTGCTGCAGAGTTAGTGCATCAGAGAAAACCAAGAAGAAGAGCTGCTGTGCTGTAGCGTAAAATTTTCGGCATGTCTAGAACAATGCTTACAAGTACAACACGACGTAGCTGGGCGCCGTGGACAGATGCTGAACGGTGCCGCCGGTGTGCCTAAACTCATAGAAAATAATGTATTTGAATTTTAAAGACATGGCACGACGCTGCGCTTCTCGTCTGGTGCGCGACCGCCTGAAACGCTGTTTTTTTTTCACCTCTGTGCCCAAACGTCTTTGTTTGGGCTTCCGAAAGCGGATGAGGTCAGGAAACAGTGGTTGCAATTTTAATTTTTAACTGTCCCTGAGCATTATAACCCCAATTTGCTATTGTGTGCTGCGCATTTTACTGAGGACAGCTTCCACTACATGAGGGAGTACAGTGCCTGCCGGATTCGCCAAAAAGTTTTTGTTGAAAGACGGAGCAGGGGGGGGGGGCAGTACTGAAACACCGTCTAAACTGCTCGCCAATCACAACGCACTGGGACAGCTAACCAATCACAACACATTTTGTTTTTCGGAAGGTGGACCTTCATCAAAGCCGGAACTAATCGAGCCGTTTGTGCCAGGATGGGGAGAGAGGTGTTGTAATAATGTAAATTATGTGAAAAATAATGCGTTTTTCGAACCACCAAACATGAGAGCATGTTCTAGTACACCCCCAAAACAAAATCAAGACTTTGTAAAAGAGCATAATAGGACCCCTTAAAAAATCATATAATACCTACTGAAAGTTGCAGTATTTTTTCATATGTTTTTTTTTATTTATATGTTGGTTTAGGAGTAATTCAAAGCTCCATCGTGGAATTTTCTTGTTTAATGAAGAGCTGGATTATGATCAGGTTGTTCTGGAGAAGTTTGCATTTTCCAATGCTTTATCACTGTCAGGTAGGATATGTTTGCATTTTCACACATTTTTTTAAAACACTGATAAATTATAAAAACATTGATGATTAATTATATTTTTATTTGTGCATTTTCCTGTTAATATTTGTGTTTACCTTGCATGATTTCAGTAAAACTAGCAATATGGGAGGTCTCTCTCGACAACTTTGTTGAGTCCATCCAGTCAATTCCCGAGGTAGATCCACTTATGTACTCTTTCATAGGTAATACCAGCATTTGCTGCTTTTTGCAAGTTAAAATAGTTCTGTATATTAAATGGCACAGATGCAAACGTGTTCTGTTTTTCTAAAAAAGCTAAATATACCTCAGTGTGAAATTAGGTAATTGTAGCCATAAAACTTTTTAACAGATGCTGAAGTCTGGACAAAGAGTGAAACTGTCCAGGGCTGAAGTTATGCAGAAGATAGGGGAGCTCTTTTCCTTGAGGTCAGATCATTTTATCTGGTTTATTTTGTATGAGATAAGCTGCTGCTCTATTTCATTTAATTATTACAATCTTTTTAACCTTTTACAGGCACTGCATAAATCTCAGCTCTGATTTACTGATCACACCTGATTTCTACTGGGACAGAGAAGATCTTGAGCAGCTCTATGACAAGACCTGTCAGTTCCTCAATATTAACCGAAGAGTTAAGGTTAGTGAAAGTACTTGCACAAAATGTTTTTGTATCTATCTTAAAGGAAAAGTTCGCCTAAAAATGAAAACTAGCTTAACATTTACTCACCCTCAGACCATCCAAGATGTAAATGAGTTTGTTTTTGCATTCCATCATTTACTCACCAATGGATCCTCTGCAGTGAATGGGTGCCGTCAGAATGAGAAACCAAACAGCTAAACATATCACAATAATCCACAAGTAATCCACACCACTCCAGTCCATCAGATAACATCTTGTGATGTGAAAAGCTGTGTGTTTGTAAGACACAAATCTATCATTAACCTGTTTTAAAGGGATAGTTGACCCAAAAATTAACATTTGATGTTTATCTGCTTACCCCCAGGGCATCCAAGATGTTTCTTGGACTTTGTTTCTTCAGTAGAACACATATGATGATTTTTAACTCCAACCGTTGCAGTCTATCAGTCGTATAATGCATGGCAATGGTAACAAAATCTATGAGAGTAAAAAAAACATGCACAGACAAATCCAAATTAAACCCTGCGGCTCGTGACGACACATTGATGTCCTAAGACACGAAACGATCGGTTTGTGCCAGAAACCGAACAGTATTTATATAATTTTTTGCCTCTAATACACCACTACATCCAACTTCCTTGAGCGCGCATGGCATCCGGTGCGTGAGGTGTGTACGCGCGCGTCTCTGGCGTAGTTTACGTTAATGGGTGTGTTGATATCCAGCTGAAGAGCAATCAACCATAACTTCCGGCGAGCAGGCTCAGAAGTTGGGAATACGTGGAAAGTCACCACTCCCGAATGAGTTTGCACGAGAGAACGTAATCTTTTAGTTTTAAGTCAGTTTGAACAATCCGGATAAGCGCAAGTAAGTACCATTTTGATTAGCCGTCGTACCTACAATGACTGTGCACTGTGTAAACAATGAGTGGCCATGCATTATACGACTGATAGACTGCAACGGCTGGAGTTAAAAATCATCATATGTGTTCTACTGAAGAAACAAAGTCACCTCCATCTTGGATGCCCTGGGGGTAAGCAGATAAACATCACATTTTCATTTTTGGGTGAACTATCCCTTTAACTTTAGACCGCTACACTTCACAAGACAACTACTTGTGGATTATTGTGATGTTTTTATCAGCTCTTTGGACTCTCATTCTGACGGCACCCATTCACTGCAGAGGATCTATTGGTGAGCAAGTGATGTCATGCTAAATTTCTACATCTACATCTTGAATGACCTAAGGGTGAGTAAACTTTAAGCAAATTAAATTTTTTGGGTAAACTATTCCTTTAAGGGACATATAAATATCCTGATAAAATGTTGCTTTGATCCTAGCTCACTGTTTGTTTTCTAGGTTGTGAACGAGAAGTTACAACATTGCACTGAACTTACAGACCTGATGAGGAATCACTTCAGTGAGAAACACAGTCTCAGACTGGAGTGGATGATCGTCGTACTGATTACCATTGAGGTTAGTAAACACTGATGTCCACTTTAAGCAGACTTTCATTTTTGATAAGATTTCAATAGACAATAAATAATATTCAGCTGCACTGTCAAAAACTGTTGAAACGTCTATATCATATTTATGTCCTCCAAATTTGATTTAAAGTACACATTTTACAAATGCAATGCAAAACCTATATATATATTATTTTCTTTTATCTTTAGGTGATGTTTGAACTTGCTCGTGTAATCTTCTGAGGACCCACAGATACAGTCTTACAAGTGCATAGTGACTTTTTGTAAACCAGCAAATCATTTTGTTTTCTGTAGATGAAGTTCTCATTGATAAATCTTCTTATCTTTTGCTATTCTTAATGTGACACTGACCCGAAATAAAGTAAAAATTTTTTTTTTTTTTTTATAAGTATTGGATAAATAGTGGCTCATTTTGTGTCTGTTTTGCCTCCTTTTCAGAAAGGTGTGGGATAGAAATCACTGTTGAATCTATGTCCTAAACTCTACTCCTGCTGTAAAATCCAGATTAAGCAGATAGCTGTTTGAGTAATATAAAGCCGCTCAAAAATGTGCACAACTTTTCACATGCTGCCTTGTTGCCAATGGCATGGAACTTGGTTTTGTAATTGTGTTGTGCTTACATAGCCTCTGATAATACTAACATTTATCCACTGATTTTTTTTTTTTTTTTTACTTTACAAGTTGTGACAAACTGTGTCTGTTTTTTGGAACACATACAGCCTTAAGTTTAAGTAGGCTAACATTTGACACTTTTATTCATTATTTCACTAGTTATTAAAAATGCAGCTCAAATGAACCTGCTAACAAATGTTGTAGTGGTCTCGCAGTTGATTGATCGATCGATCAGCCTCTAGTGATCGACAGCCGTTCGATACGGCGCGCGCTCACGTCATGTGATTCAAAGCCTCCGGAAAACGGCAGCAGATTACAGACTGACTGAACTCGTGCTGCTCTACTGCTCGGTGGAGAGGTTTCCTCCGCTTCAGCCAGCAAACTAAACTCAATTCGAGTTCTGTCGCGAAAGAGCAGACGGTAAGTGACGGCTTAAAGGTTTTATTTCAAACGAGTGTTTAATACAACGGTTGTCGGCTTGTTTTTAGTCCAGTAACGAAGGACACGATCGATTACTCGCGGATCTTAACCGAAAATTATATATATTTTGACCGTTTTCGTCTTGGCATTGCTTTTGCTTATCGGAAGATTAACGGTTTTCATTTCTCTGTTCATCTGTGTGATTTTCTTTCTCTCGTTTAAAGTGTAACGTAATGTTATTTTATTTGATTCATTGCGTGAGCGCGTTTCCTATTTGTCCGCGGAAACTTTTGTACTCGGAATTCACCAGCATGGGCGGGGCTTCAACACTCACTCACTCTCACACACACACACTCTCTCACTCACACTCACTCACTCTCTCTCACACACACACACACACACACACTCTCACTCTCTCTCACACACACACACACGCACTCACTCACTCTCACACACTCTCTCACACGCACTCACTCACACTCACTCACTCTCACACGCACTCACTCACACACACACACTCACACGCACTCACTCTCTCTCTCACACGCACTCACTCACACACACACTCTCTCACTCACTCTCTCTCACACACACACGCACTCTCACTCTCACACACTCTCTCACACGCACTCACTCACACTCACTCACTCTCACACGCACTCACTCACACACACTCACACGCACTCACTCTCTCTCACACACTCTCTCACACGCACTCACTCACACACACACACACTCTCTCACTCACTCTCTCTCACACACACACACACTCACTCACTCTCTCACACACACTCACTCTCTCACACGCACTCACTCACACACACACTCACTCACACACACACTCACACACACACACACACACGTAGTTGCCTCAAAACCTATTTGAAAGCACACTTCTGAAATAGGACATTATGTAGGTTTTTACATTTAAATTTTTATTTTGTTTTGCAAGTGAGGAATGTTATAACAAGTAGTTTTTACTGTATTTAGAACTTGCACAATTGGTGGCTGACTAAATACTTTTTTGCCCCACTGTATATATATATATATAAACAGTAGTCAACATTTGAAGTGAATCAAAAAAGTTAATCAAAGTTGTCTTAAGACAAGAACGCATTTTGGTTTTAGGACAACTTTGATGAAAGGTTTTGATCCACTTCAAATGTTGACTACTGTATATACACACACACACACAAACAATCAAATTAATATACAAAAAATGGCCAAAAATATATATTTGCACAAATATGATTCAGAATATATTTACATCAATATATTTTATGCCAATATATTTTTCGCCATTTTTTTCCATTTCTTTTTAAAATATATTTAAAAAATATTTATTTTTCAAAACCGTTTAAAAATGTGTTTTGTCCTCCGTATATTTCAGTCCAAGAAAATACATGCACATCACATTTGAGGGGGGAAAAACTTTATTTGTTGTAAAAGTGTAATATAACAATATATAAATAGTTACCACATATGCATTCATACTAAATGTAGCCTACTGTAAAATTGAATTCCCTTTCATGGGAACTTCGAACTGCGTCTCTAGGGGTCGCTATGGGGAACGCCTCGTCGTGACCCGTGTCTGATGCATACATTGAAAAACACCAACTCGTTGGCCGGCGACAGCCATGACGTCACTACCGGTGCGACTATAGTATAAATAGGCGCCGGGAGCTACACATCATTCTCTTCTTCGTCTTCATTGACTATTTTGTTTGAAGCGTGCATTTCTGTGGTAAGAGCGATCTCTATTTATCTCATTATGGCAAGCACTAGCAAAGCATTTAAGGATGTGTGCATCCGTGTTGACGTTGTTTAACATCTGATGACACACACAATCTATGCGTTGTTTTGTTTGGGCAAAGAGCATGTAACGCGATGTCTCCGAGGGGGCAATCAGCGTGCACTGCGAGCGTTTTTTCCAAGGAAAAAAGCTCCGCTCTTGTTTGTCTCTCTTTTCGAGGAAAGCAGGGGCAGCCATCTGCTTCCCGCGATCCAGGACCCACCGCTGCTGAGGCTCGGAAGGGAATGAGCTCGTGGGGATCACAGGTGGATCTGGCCGATGAGTTTGAAGGGGGGTTTCCCTTTCGTGATCGTCGGCTGTGCACGAGAGTGAGCCGCTGGAGGATGATGTTATTTCATTAACATTGTCTGATTCAGGGGCCATTGCTCTGCTGGGATCAGCCCAGCAAAAGCAGGAAATAGCTGAGGAGGGCAAAGAAGCTGAGGCTGAGCCTTCCCAATTCTCCTGCCCTGCGTATGATGAGCTTTTGGAAATTATGGATCGCGCCACGGCGAGTCTTTACTTGCCGTGAAGCGGGTGAAAAAGTGATGTCGCGAAATATCTTGATGAACGTTATTTTTCTGGCCAAGGACACAGTGTCTCGTTCCCTACTCAGGGAACCATGGTTACATAAGTAACCTGAGACGTTTTTTTTATCTTGCCCATTTTAAAAATGTTCAATTCCGAAAATATTGAGCTTCTGTTTCCATCATATATATTGAATATATTTAAAGGGGTCATATGATGCTGCTAAAAATAACATTATTTGGTGTATTTGGTGTAATGAAATGTGTTTATGTGGTTTAAAGTTAAAAAAACACATTATTTTCCATTGGCCGAATACCTCAAGCGTGTGACGGAAATGTTACGCCGCCCTGCCGACATTTTAGTCTAACGTTACTCTACCAGGATCAGTAAACAGTCCTTCATAAAATGTGCTGCACACATCTGGATATTTGGGTTAAACTGTTCTGGAACAGTGTTGTAAAGTGTCTTAGCGTGAGCTGAGGCGGCGGGGTCTATAAACAGCACGCCCGGCAGGAAAAATTGAAATCGCATCATATGACCCCTTTAAAATATATATTGGCCAGAATTTTTACATTTATTTAGCCATATGGTCAAGGACACATAAGCCATAGATGTTATTTAATAAATGTTAGTTTAATAAATGAGTTTTGGTGACCGAAATGCATATTTAATGAGGTGCAAGATAAATTGACTGAACCTACTGAAAACCTTAAAAATATTTTCTTTTATGGGGGGGCGTGTTAGAACGAGCCGTTTTAGGTAGGTGTGGCTGACTCTGAACTTTTATAAAGAATATCTCTTTGGATTTGAGACTTTAGTCTTTGCAACTTTACAGATCTTCTTTATGCACCAAGAGCTTGTAACACTCCAAAGAGAAAGGAAAAATTGAAATCGCATTGTTCAAAGTGAAATCAATTGTCGATTTGTATATTTTTATTCCTTATTTACTTGTTCTATTTTTCTATTTTTTATTATCTGTGTGTTTGTTCTGTCACTGTCATTCTGTTACACTGTGGAGCTTCTGTCAAATTCCTCGTATGTGTAAACATACCTGGCAATAAAAACTCATTCTGATTCTGATATGACCCCTTTAAAATATATATTGGCCAGAATTTTTACATTTATTTAGCCATATGGTCAAGGACACATAAGCTATAGATGTTATTTAATAAATTGAGTTTTGGTGACCGAAATGCATATTTAATGAGGTGCAAGATAAATTGACTGAACCTACTGAAAACCTTACAAATATTTTCTTTTAATTTGTGTGTGTGTGTGTGTGTGTGCTTAGGTGGAAAAAAATGGACTTGGCCCATCATGGTCTCGTTCTCCTTAAGCGCCTCAATGCTCAGAGAGAGTTTGGTTTTCTCTGTGACTGTACTGTGGCCATCGGGGATGTTCTTTTCAAAGCCCACAAAGCCGTTCTTGCAGCGTTCTCAAACTACTTCCGTATGCTGTTCATCCATCAAGACAGGTACTACGAACGTGATTGCAAAAAAGTTATTTGTTCACATTTGCAGTACTCTGTTATTAAATGATTCTTTATGCTTCTCTTTTGTAGTAACTGTGTTCGACTGAGGCCTTCAGACATACAAGCAGATATCTTCAGCTACCTGCTAAACTTAATGTACACTGGAAAATTCACCACACAGCCCATTGACCCTCTTCGCCTTGAGCAAGGTGTAAAATTCCTGCATGCCTACCCTTTATTACAGGAGGCAAGTCTTCTTATAAACCCTGAGTCCCAGTGTGTACCTTTGACAAACTCGCTTTATGGAATACAGATACCTGATCAGACTTACAGCCGGCCTGAAAGAAATACAGCATGCAAGGATGGCATTTATGCTAAAAACTCTGAAAACGTTAACCAAACATTTTTGGAAATTTCTGATATGGATTACAGATCTCTACAACCTGTTGGCATAGAGTCACCCACCCAGAATCCTGCAGCCACAATGTTCCGACACCTCACATATGGCATAACGAGTAAGAGTGCTTCCTCCAGAAAGCATTACACCTGTAATTATTGTGGAATCCGTTTTAACCAGAGGTGCAAGTTGAAGGAACATCTCCGTGTCCACACCAACCAAGCAACTGAGCCACAGGTGTTGTCTATGCAAAATGGTCACACTATTGAGCTTGAAGTTCAGGATATGGAAGAGGACCATTTGCGTGTTGACAGTGATGTTATTAGTGATACCGATCAACAGGCGTGGATGGAAGACACCCCGCCGCCCTCTGAAATGGCTGATATAGACAACCTGGAGGGCACCGAGATGGGTCGTGAAATGAAACGCCGAAAATTTGAGTGTCCGACCTGTGCTCGCAAGTTTATTCAGAAAAGTCACTGGCGGGAGCACATGTACATTCACACTGGAAAGCCATATAAGTGCAGTGCTTGCGGAAAGAACTTCTGCAGAGCCAATCAAGCCGCTCGACACGTTTGTCTGAGTCAGGACACAGACTCGTACATTATGGTCAACAAACAGAGTTTGGTTCTGTGTGGTGGAGAAGACAACAGTCAAGTGGAAGCTCTCTTTCAGTCTTCTGAAAGACCATATAAATGTAGCATGTGTGCAGCACCTTTTGCAAGTCCTTCTGAGGTTCCCAAACATCAGTGTTTGACTGAGAGCGATACTGTACCATTGGCAGAAAATTCACTGGGGGAAAATCAAAAGAAGGACTTAGAGACAACTATTCCTGAAGTAACCATTCCTTCTTGAAATGTCATGCTAAAGCAGTATTAGCTTATTGCCCGTATTTAACTATTTGTATGTTTGTGTTGTTATGAACTAAGAGATAAGTATTTTTTTAAGGTCCGTTGCATTTTCATGTCTTTTTTTCTATTGAAAGGTCATTTGTGAATTAGTTTGAAACGAATAATATGCCAAAACTTAATGTTAGAAACACTTCTGAGTTGCCTAGTTAAGTAATTCTACATTGCAAGTAGAAGAAAAAAACAGCATATTATGAGATCCATTTCATCCATTCGCCAAAAGAAATAAAAACTGTACTAGCATGCTGTATATCAACTTTTCATAAATTACAAGTCCAAAATTGGTAACGTTTCGTTTTTTTAAATAAAACTTAAAATTATAATTTGAATTAAACCATGTCAAATGTCGCAAAATCCAGGAACAACAATACACTCATTTTGTATTTAAACTTGTATTTAGTTGATTGTTAATATTGCAATTTCTTCAAAGATGCATAGTCTGTATAATTAAACCGTCTGTACATGTGGTTTCGGACACTTCTTAGCAATATATTAGAATAAGTTAAAAATTTGTTTTCAATCATGTCATGGCTTATTGTATCAGGCCAGACGCAACCCTCCATAATACAGGCAAGGCAGGTTTTATAATATAAAAAATGCTCAACTTTGTAATGATCATATGCAGTACAGAGTGTTTTGATACTCATGGAACATTTATATATGTTAAGTGCTTTTCTGGGGAAAAAATAAAAAACATGGGGAAAAGTCAGTAGTTGCAACATTAGATTGCATGCTTCAATTTTCATGCCAAAAATATAGCCACAAATATTTTCTAAGATTGGGTGTTTCTGTAAATTACAAATAAAAATATTCATAACAATGACATGGCAACAAAAATAAATCATGAGTTTGATAAGATTTTGACTGTTCTTTGTAAAACAATCTGTCATTTTCAGTCATTGACTACAGCTGACTGAATTCTGTCTAAATCTCTCTTTGATAGAGCATGATAGTGATTTGCTCATTACAGATTTGGTAAAATGTACATCGTATTTAGAGTATAAAATAAATGTATCCTAGATGCAAATCAAGAGGTATATGATGGTTCAAAATGAAATTAACCTTGATTTAGTAAATATCTTTAAATACCAGGAATTGCCCATTCTACAATGACAATCATTTTCTTATGCTAAATATGCCAAATGGTCAAGATATAATGCATGTGTACAAATGTTTTTTTTTTTTAGATATGTAACAACATGATATAATGTGGCATAAGCTTATGCTAATGTATGAATAATTATTCAAAAATTCCTCAGTAAAAATGACAAAATAGCTGCTTTTGAAGGGTTTTATATGTTGAAATATTTTCTGCATCAAAGTAAAATGTAAAAATGTAGTTAATGATCAAAAAACAGCCTCTCAACTGAATAACTACTGTTTTTGGTTTCACTTTTGCTTAAGGGAACTTTAATGATGCAATTTTACTTCTCAGTGGTTTGGTCATTTCTTTGTTGTCAGAAATGTGAATCCCAGCTGATTTTGTGCTGAGCACAGCCTCTTCCAGGTGTTAAATGTTCTGAATTTTCCTTGTTAAACTTGCACCTGAAATGATAGAATCAGTGTTATGATTTTTTTTTTTAAATCCGACATCAAAAATGACTGATAACTGAATGCAATGTAATAAAATGACTTACCAACTCAACTTCAAATCTTTCATCTGGTTTAGCATGCCACTATCAAATTGCAGCATCAGATATTTGTTTAGCAGCAGTATCTTGGGGTGCATCCTCTGTGTGTGTCACCTGACACGGGGAATCTCCAATATTATCTACAGCATCCTCCCACACATCCTCCTCTACCTCTGACTGAGGTTCTGTTGAAGTATGCCGCAAGGAAACCTTCCCATTTTCTTCATCTGATATACACTCTTGAGTTAAAACTGATGTCTTTACCTCTTTCGCAGCCACAAATGGTGGTTCAACATCTTTAGACACAACTGAAGCCTCTGACTTTGCTTCCTTTTTCTCCTGTTCAACTACCTGCAACATTGCTTTCTTTACTTCTGGTGTAGCAACAGGTGGCGCTGTTGCTACTACAACTGCGGCAATAGCTGGTGCCATCATCACAGGGGATAAAGTAGGTGTCTCTTCTACTGGTGTCTTCTGTCGTGCCTTTTCTAATGTAGTCACAGTGGGTGCCTCCATCCCAGTTACAACTGATGTTGCCTTTACCAAGAGCATGGCTGGTGTCGTCGGTGTCTGTGCTACCTGCTCTGTAACTGGTGTTTGCACTGCTGGGATCGCAGCAGGCACTTCTGGTAATGAAAATGGTGTCTCTGCCACTGGTGGCTTTACTTCTACTCCTGCAGTCATTGCTGGTAGAACTACTGGAGGTGCAGCCTCTTTTGCAATCCCTGAAACTAGAGCTGGTGTCTGTACCACTGGGATCATAACAGGTCTCTCTGCCATTGCAATTGCAGTTGGTGCTTCTGTGGTAGTTTCTAGTACTAGGCTCACAACTGACCTTTCCGCTACTGGAGTCACAGTTGGTGTCATCATCACTGGTGTTACAACTGGTGTCTCTGCCACTACAACTGGAGTTGGAGTTTCCACTACTGGGATCACAACAGGTGTTTCTGCTGCTGCAGTCACTGCTGAAACAACTACTGGAGGAGTAGCTTCTGGTACTGCCACTAAAACCTGACATGGTGTCTGTGTCACTGGAGTCAAAACTGGTGTCTCAACCACTGCAAATGGAGCTGGCTTTACTACTGGACTTTCTACTACTGGGATCATAACAGGTGTTTCAACTGTTGCAGTTACTGCTGAAACAACTACTGGAAATGTAGTGTCTGTTACCATATCTGAAACCTGACCTGGTGTCTGTACCACAGGGGTCACAACTGGTGTCTCAACCACTACAACGGGAGTTGACTTTACAACAGGAGTTTCTACTACTGGGATCTCAACAAGTGTTTCTACTGCTGCAGTCACCGCTGATACAAGTACTGGAGGTGTAGGCTCTGTTACCATCACTGAAACCTGGCCTGGTGTCTGTACCACAGGGGTCACAACTGGTGTCTCAACCACTACAACGGGAGTTGACTTTACAACAGGAGTTTCTACTACTGGGATCTCAACAAGTGTTTCTACTGCTGCAGTCACCGCTGATACAAGTACTGGAGGTGTAGGCTCTGTTACCATCACTGAAACCTGGCCTGGTGTCTGTACCACAGGGGTCACAACTGGTGTCTCAACCACTACAACGGGAGTTGACTTTACAACAGGAGTTTCTACTACTGGGATCTCAACAAGTGTTTCTACTGCTGCAGTCACCGCTGATACAAGTACTGGAGGTGTAGGCTCTGTTACCATCACTGAAACCTGGCCTGGTGTCTGTACCACAGGGGTCACAACTGGTGTCTCAACCACTACAACGGGAGTTGACTTTACAACAGGAGTTTCTACTACTGGGATCTCAACAAGTGTTTCTACTGCTGCAGTCACCGCTGATACAAGTACTGGAGGTGTAGGCTCTGTTACCATCACTGAAACCTGGCCTGGTGTCTGTACCACAGGGGTCACAACTGGTGTCTCAACCACTACAACGGGAGTTGACTTTACAACAGGAGTTTCTACTACTGGGATCTCAACAAGTGTTTCTACTGCTGCAGTCACCGCTGATACAAGTACTGGAGGTGTAGGCTCTGTTACCATCACTGAAACCTGGCCTGGTGTCTGTACCACAGGGGTCACAACTGGTGTCTCAACCACTACAACGGGAGTTGACTTTACAACAGGAGTTTCTACTACTGGGATCTCAACAAGTGTTTCTACTGCTGCAGTCACCGCTGATACAAGTACTGGAGGTGTAGGCTCTGTTACCATCACTGAAACCTGGCCTGGTGTCTGTACCACAGGGGTCACAACTGGTGTCTCAACCACTACAACGGGAGTTGACTTTACAACAGGAGTTTCTACTACTGGAATTATAACAGGTGCCTCTACTGCTGCAGTCACCACTGATACAAGTACTGGAGGTGTAGGCTCTGTTACCATCACTGAAACCTTACCTGGTGTCTGTACCACTGGGGTCACAACTGGTGTCTCAACCACTGCAACTGGAGTTGACTTTACAATGGGAGTTTCTACTACTGGGATCACAACAGGTGTTTCTACTGCTGCAGTCACTGCTGAAACATCTACTGGAGGTGCAGTCTCTGTTATCATCACTGAAACCTGACCTGGTGTCTGTACCACTAGGGTCACAACTGGTGTCTTATCCACTGCAACTGAAGCTGAATTTACAACAGGAGTTTGTAATACTGGGAACTCAACAGGTGTTTCTACTGCTGCAGTCTCTTCTGAAACAACTACCGGAGGGACAGTCTCTGTTACCATCACTGAAACCTGACCTGGTGTCTGTACTAATTGGGTCACAACTGGTGTCTTAACCACTGCAACTGGAACTGCAACAACAGCTGTTTCTACAGCTGGGATCACAGCTGATGTTTCTGATGCTGCTGGTGTAACTGGAGGCGCTGCATGTGTTGCAATTACTGAAATCTGAGCTGGTGTTTCTACCACTGGTGTCACAAGTGATGTCTCAGCAGCCGAAGTTACTACTGAGGTTTTTACTTCTGGGATCATAACTGTTTCTGATGCTATTGGAGTTCCAGCTGATGTAACTACTACAGGAGATACAGCTTCTGCCACTGTCATTGAAATCATAGCAGTGTCTGGTGTCTTTGCCACTTCAGATACAGTTGGTTTTACTGATGTGATGGAGACAATGGGAGTTTCAATTACTTGTCTCACAGGTGTTTCTGCAAATGAGGTCACATCTAGTGTAACCTCTTCTGGAGGTACAGTCTCTTCAACTGAAACAACAGCTGGAGTCTCCACAACAGATGTTACTGTGGCTGGGATCTCTACTACAGGGGACACGGCTGTTTTCTCTACTGCAGCTGGAGTTGATTTTACTGCTGTGACAGAAAAAACTGGTGTTTCTACAGTTGTCTCTACTTTCACTTCTGATGCCACTGTAATTTCTACCTTTGGTTCTGTCACTTCAAGTGTCTCAGCCCTGAGTTCACTCACTACTTGTGACTGTATCTCAGAAACAGCAACTTCTGGCATTTTTGCTGTAACTTCAGAGGTCAGTGGTGATTCTTGTGCAGTGGGTGTTATTTCCATTACTGCAGTTATTTCATCTTTAATTTCTGTCTTGTCTACCTGCAACTCATTTGACAGTATCTTTTCTGTTACTTGTTCATGAGGTTCACATTTTAGACTAGCATTTTCATCTTCTTCATTCTTCTTTTCACTCATATTACTAACCTCTATTTCTGCAGCAGTATAATTTTGTGCCAGCTCTGTGATTGTAGGCACTTCAATCATAGCCGGCCCTGAATCAAACCCTTCTGGTTCTGGTTTGGGAGCAACAGCCATTGTATCTTTTTCTTCTGGAACTGTTGTTTCTTTCATTTCTGACGATGTCATTGCTGGGGCCTGGTCACCACCTATTGCTTCACCCTCTTGTTCTGTTGCTTTTGGTAGTTTAGATTTTGCAAGTACCTGTGTTACTGGTTCAGACACCATAGGCCTCTCTTTCCCAGATTGTTTTGTTGTGTTCTCAATAATGGCAACCATCCCTAAAACTTTACCAGTCTTAATATTCTCCGTTGTTGCTGGTTGTGCATTCTCTTTGGGAAGTTCTGGACTTGGTTTGGAGTCTTGACACCAGTCTTCTGTTTGAGAAACCACAATTTCTGTTGCTACAGGTTTTGCTTCAACTTTTGGCAATACTATCTCTAGAGGTTTTAGTATGACTTCAGAACTAGCATCAGGCTCTTCTGGTGTTTCTGTGTGCTCAGATACATCTTTTGAAAGTGCAGAAACAACTGTGTGTTCTCTTATTTTATAAACCATGTCTCCAATTTCACTTCCTGCATCAACAATTATTTCAGGAGATTTATCAGTAAAAGTTTCATTGCTGTCTGTCAGAGGTCGCCCTTCCTTCACTGCATGTTCCTCTTCCTCTTTCACAAAAATCCCATCCGTTCTGTCAGTTGCACTGTCTTCCACTTTATCATCCAAATGTATTTGAATGTCTTCTTTATGGAGCTCTTCAGCCTCTTCAACTAATACTGGTTCTGGAAGAGACACCTCCTTGGCTGGCAGCTGTTCTCTGGCTAATGATTTATCTCCAGCTTCTGAAATATTTTCAACCTCAATATTTTTAACGACTTCTGAAGTAATAACATCCCCTGTCTCTTCTTCTACATGTATTTCCTTAATGTCCTGCTGTGCCATTTTTTCATAATCTTTTTCTTCCATTTTCCCACTGATGTTCTCCACAGTCACCGCTGAATCACCTGCTAATAAGACTGCATCTTTTACGTCAACTTGTATTTCACAGGCATCAACATGTATTGATTCAACTGCTTCTAATTTTAAACTCCCTTCTAATTCCAGTTTCTCTGCCTGTATGTGATCTGAAATTGGACTTATAATACTATCAGTCTCTGTGATTTCCAGACACTCCACAGCAGAAGCATTCATTTCTATTTCTTTGACTTCTTTACTTGTGGTAGTGCCAGGACTGCTGTCTATATCACCATGTGTCAAAGACTCAACTACTTCAGTGGATGCAGGTTGATCATACTCAGCAACGTACAATTCAACATCTGAAAGCGTGAGCTCTTTTTCAGGTTCAGCAGCTACTGGTTGTTCATATACAGGTTCCTCTAACACTGAATGCAGTGGACACTCTGTTTCAGGACCATGGGTGTAGTCTGACATAAACTGTTCCAGCCCAGCTTCACTTTGCATTGTCTCAATCACCTGTCTGAGTTCAATACCAGTTGTACATTCCTCTATTTGTTCCTCCATATCAGTCTCCTCTGATTCTCCCACAAGAGGCTCTGCCACTAATTGAATAACTTGCTTTACACTTAGCTCAGTTTCAATGGCAGATTCCTTTTCACTTACAATTACTTCCTGATACTCAGTCTTTATTTCCTTAATTTCAGCCTCATAGACCTTATCTGTCCAAAGTCCTGCAATTTCAGTTTCATTTGTAAAGTTATCAGAGACTAATTCAGTTGGGACAGCATCACTTACTTCAGGTATTACCTCCACTAAGGGTGCAGGAGGATGTTCATAAACAGATTCTATTTCTTGAGATTCTAGGCCTGTACATATTGCTGTTGCCTCAGTTTTCTTATGTGCAACCAAAACCTTTGTTTGCTCTGTTGTGGAGGACTGTACAATATAAGGTGAAAATGACACGGCCAGAGATTCTTGGCTTTCATCTTTTGTAGTAACTGACTGAAAACTTGGAGTCATGCAGATAGATTGAATAGCTTCCTGTAGGATCACATCTGATGTATGTATGCCATATTCAGCTGACACTGGTGTAACATGCCCAGATGACCTGGGTGAATCGGTTAGTTGCGAGACTGCCGAGACCATTTCAGTAGTGTCATCCCCAATAAATTGTTCACTTGATAGTTCTGCTGTCAACTCCACAATGTCCTCAGCTAAGGTGTCATCCTGTGTTGTCCACTCAGCAGATGATACTGGTGTTTCAATGCTTTCCTCATTGATGCCTTCTTCTGGAATATCACTCAGTTGCTGATGTTTGCTCACAAAGTCTGTAAATTCTTCAAAGTCTTCTGATAATCCACGTATGACTGTTGGTCCAGTGTTAATTGGAACTTTAGCTGCAATTTTGGGCACAAAGTTATTAGATGTGTCCTGTTCTAACACTTGTGAAGTCATCTCTGGCATCTCATGTTCTATTGTGATTTCAACTCGTTGCTCATGCACCTCCTTCAGACTTTCAGGCTCAATTATTTCATACTCAGACAGAGGAATAATAGCTGGGGTTTCATCATCTTCATCACCTGTTTCATGATCCTTTGCAGCCTCATCGGAGGATGTCTGGTCTTTCCTTTCATCTGATTTTCTCTTTTTATGCCCTGGAATGAGTTTCTTCCTAGAAAATGGTTCGTCTTTGTTCATCTCACTGTCTGAAGGTATCTGCTCAGGGGTACTACTTTCTCCAGTTCTGACCTTTCTCTTCGGGGTGACCATTTTTTTAAACGTTTTCCATGTGGATCCCATCTCTCCCTCTGCAGGACTTCCAGTTTGTTCATTAGATGATGTGAGATGATCAAAATCGCCCTCAATGGAACTTCCCAGTGGAGAGTCAGTTGTTTTCTCATATTCCTCTCCTTTGTCTGGCGTTTCATCCTCATTTGTTTTTCTAGCTCTTTTTTTAGCAGAACCACCACAAATCAGTGCCTCCCAGGAAACGGTGGTGTCAGATTTCTTTTTGGACTCTTGAGGGCTTACATCAGCCACCAGCTCCTCTTCAGCAGGTTTTGGGTCCCCAACCACTGGTTCCTCCACTTTTGCAAGCTCTGCCAATTCCGAGGATGGTTTCGGCTGTTCAGAGACTTGTTCCTCTGCCTCAATCACCTTTTCTGCAGCTTTACTTTCTCGCTGCCTTCTTGTGGAAAATTTCCTGAAAAGTCTTTTAAGTGGACTTCCTTGTACCTTATCTTTTCCTAGAGAATTCTGAAGCTCTACTTCAGGTAACAACTTTTCATTGTCTTTCTCCTGTGAATCTTTTTCTTCCTCTGATGTAATATAAGGGATATCAAGGCGTATACATTTACTGTCCTCTTTTTCGGCCTCTTCTACACCCATTCTCTCAGTTCTTTTGAGTTCCTCTTCCTTAATCTCTTTTTGCATTTCCTCTTCTATCTTTTTCTTTCTTAAACTGGCAAAGAGTCCTTGTGTAAAGAATTGCTTGATTGGTGACATCGGTTCTTCCGGCTCAGGACTTCCTTCTTTTTCCAGTTCTTTCTCAGGTGTGTCCTCCACATGATGTTCCACTATCTTTATGTCCTGATCCAGCTCTTTTTCATTGTCTGTTTGTTGAGAGGGTTCAGCTGCATCAGGCTGGGAAGACACCTCACTTTTTCGAGTCTCATCAGGTGTGTTTTCATTTGCTGCCACTGCACTGTTCTCCTGGGTGTCACTGGAGTCCTCTGAGGGACTTGTGATTTTTTCTTCTTCTTCATCTGATTCAGTCTTTTCACATGAGTCTTCTTTTAGGGTAAACTTAAATCCAACAAATCTGAAGATTTTTTTGAAGCCAACTTCATTGATATCATTCACTTGGTTGTCCTCCACAGTTTCCTCCTTCACAATCATACTATCTGCATTAACCATCTCTGTGCTCTCAATCTTTGTGACTGGTTGAAGAGCATCCATTTCCTGGAGGTCTTCAATTGTTTCTGTGCTATATTCTTTCAGAGTAACAAACCCTGAGCCAACTGACAAAAAATAAATAATTAAATAAGAATGAAAAGTACCAAGGTAAGTGTATACTCAAAAAATATTTGATATTTACTACTATAAAAAAGTGCTGTTCTCATTTCATTTGGAAACAATAAGGGAAACAATTAAATTAATGGCAATAATATAGTTTTACATACCATCTGCAAGTACTCTCTCCTCAAAGTTGCCATTTAATTCATCTGCATGATTCCTTGTCTTTACATTCAAACTGGAGATCTGCCCGTTTTTCTGTAATAACTACATGGAAAAGACAGGACAGATTAAGAAGTGATTAACAAAGTAAATTATACTTTATAAATTATTTGTCATTACATCACTGTAGCTCTTAACTATACGTATTATCTATATGCTATCTTTGGCAACAATCTCAGTGAGTTTGTCATATTATAGTTTGTCTCATGTATGTACAGCACTGCTCACTCAGGCCAAAGATAGAAACTATGGAAAAGTACAACTACGAAGTCTGATTCAAGTTAAGAGATTCCCCAAACATTTTTACAAAAGTTATCACAATACTACATTTTCTGAATGTTAAGTGCCTAACCACAATGTAGTTTGATGGAGATGGCCCTTGGGATAACTAACCAAACAAAATAAATGAACACATTTATGGAACCCGAGTATCACATAGCTCTCCTTTGACTAAAAGCCATCTCACAGACTTCCTGTTAAACCATGGCTGACCTCATCAAGTTTTACATGGAAAATCGATGCACTCAGTGCAGTAAGGGAGAATTCCATCAATCCTTTGGGAATAAGAGCACTACAAATATCCCTCCATTAATGTGCACACATTAGTACAAAAAAACTGACAAACCCAAAATCTAAAAGGAGATGGAGTTGTGATATGTAATAAACCATATTTTCAAAAACCGAAAAGAAATTGCATTTTAAAATTCTTAACCTACACATTTAATCCAATAAAATAATTCAGATGAACAAGCAAACAAACATCAAAGGGCTAATTCAAGGACAGAAATTCAACCCACATGATAAGAAGCAGTTTAGTAGTGATGGAACACTGGTAATTCTAATTTAAAGTTTGGAGTCAAGTAAAAAAGATACCATATTATTTGGCAGCCGCTGAGGATGCATCTGTTATCAGTGTTATTGAATTTATTCTGTCTGCAATATTAACAGAAATATGTCAACTTCTGCAGTTCTCAAACCACAAGACTACAGTGATCAATAAAAAAAAAATATATATATATAATTAATTAATTCAAATCAAATAATGTGCTCTCTTATTAAACTAAACTAAACTATCTAATCTGAACTACCAGAACCAAAGCATATTTTGTTAATACAGCGAATTTAGGCCAAACACCTATAAAAATAGGACAAAGTCACCTAATCTTCTTTCTTTTGACTCTCATTACTGCAGTTAAGTAGCTGCAAATGATAGTCAGGGTATTGCATTATGGACATTCTTCATACATTTTCCACACCAATCAAAACACACTTTCATCCTAATGTAACTTATTTCAGAGTGCTTGACAATATGACCTTTCTTCTTACAGCTATATCTGAGAATCTGGTAAGATGCTTCCTCATATGAAAGAAAAATCACAAATAAGATCTCTTGTGAATATCAGTTGTTTCTACTAAAAAAGCAATGAACTGCTAGACATAAATACATAAATAATATTTAAGTTGTAATTAAAACATTAAGTTTGACAACAAAATACTATTTCAGTCTTTCTCAAAATGTCATGTTTAATCCAATGTGTTACTTGCTATTTCTCTGTATATTGTTTAAGACATTTACTTGCCATTTCTGAGAGAAAATGGTTTCAAAGTTAAGTATATTGCTTTAGTCTGATGTATCTGAAAATGTTATCCTGTAATAAAGACTCTACTTTCTCTGACTTTCCTCTCTACTTTTTCACAAATGTGCTAAGATTTGCCAAAGCACCAAAGTCCACACTATTTGATAAATCTATACATTTACTCTGTAAACAATTGTCTAATTAACTTATCCTAAAAGATAAACACCTGATAGACATAAACAAAACAAAACTCAGAAATCCCTTCTACTCAGCTGAAAAGAGCGTCTACACAACATTTTGAGCATTGTATGTTCTGCATTACCTCAAAAATGCCGTAACGGAGGCAGCACACTATGTTTCGAGTTACAAACTGTGTGTGTCTTTAGATTCAGAGCTCGTGTCTTTGAAACTTTGTGAAGCATTTCTCTGCAGCAGGAGGCTGGTTCATGCATTCTACCTTGTCATCAGCACTGCCGTCATCCTGAGCATCGCTCGCCGCTGCAGTGAGCTCCTCCGCCGCTGCTTCCTCCTCACATCTGCTGTCTTGTTGCGCGGATGATGCCGTAGCTCCCATTTCACAATCCTTCTCTCGTTCTCTTCGGTTTCTTCCCTTTCACCCGATGTAACTGCAAAACGAAAGGGGGAATATCCGAGTGCTGAACGGTGTCAGACTCAGAAGTGATGCAGTTTGGCTTGATGCAAACTCTTTTAGGACACATCCTTCCTGCATCACATGAACACACTGGCACGCCTCGACGCATCAGTGGGAAAGAGAAAGAGAGTCCTGGGATAACCGAGGGACAACCTCTACAATGAAAATTTTCATCCCATGATTAGTCTGAGAGCTCTCTGACCCTCCCATAGACAGCAAGGATATTACCACGATCAACGCATATTACCACGATGGAACGACTTGAGGGTGAGTAATTAATGACAGAGTTTTCATTTTTGGGTGAACTAACCCTTTTAACCAATATGTCTAAATTTCATAAAGTAGATATAAATACTACCAATACAAGGATGACATAATTATCATTATTATTTACACTAATTTACAGATTTACTTAATGTCTTTTAATACAAAACCCCTCTAGTCATTTTGAAACCACAAGTTTCCTAAACGGTAAACGTTTATGATGCACATTTCTATAAAGAAAATGTAGACACAAAGGCTGTCAAGCTCCAAAAAGGACAAAACAGTGGCATAACAAACCTGGCAAAGTCACAAGAAAATGTTGTGTGACGTCATGATGTATTAGGTTCATGTTTACATTCATGCATTTACGCACAGACGCATTGCATCTCTCATGGTATATAATTTATCTAACAGATTTGTTGTATTCAGCATTGTATTGGATTGTAAAACAACATTTGTTAAGAACTCCTTCTTATTTGCCATTTCTGCTGCAGCAAACAGTATGCCCAGTTGGGCCACAAATGACAAGATTTGTTATTTCGTCAAAGATCGAGGGAAAGCACTTAATTGTACTCCAAAACAATGTATTTTGTGATATAATTTGTATTTAAAGCTATTAAGCTGTCAAATGATTTAATAAATCTTTACTGAAATAAAAAATGTATTTAATTTCTATTTGCATTTAGTTTCCAATTTCTAATTTTCCTTTAGTTTAGATTGATGTACTGAAATAACTCGAATTGAAATAAAATAATAATAATTATATACACTGTAAAATGATTGCTGTAGTTATTACAGCCTAAAATTCAATATTTCAGTATTAGAATAAGTAGTAATGTGTGGTTTCAACTTAAAAAAGTAAGTGTTTTTAACATGACATTTGAAATCATGTTGATTTTTGGAGAAAAGAAACGACAATGATGTATACATGATATTTATATAAACTATATAAAATGATATAAATGTATATATTTTCTGCTCCAATATCTTGAATTTTGTGATCATTCGAAATATATTTTAATAAACTGAATCATACAGTGAAAGAAAGCACTGTAAATGCGCACACGCACTAGTCTAACCTACTACACTTCATCACACACTGTTTCTCTGGCATTTTCAAAGGCACGTAACATAAAATACTGTGGCTTGGCATGATACACAGTGTAATGGTCTAACGAAATCCAGTTTTAAACATCTTTTACTGTACCCATTGTATGGCCCTTATATGACCTATTTGAGCCAATGCAGATGAATGAAGTTTTCTCAGGACGAGACCGCCCTGATTGTAAAGCAAAACGTGATTGGCTATAGCGAGATCGTGTTACGATTGGTCAGCGAATGTGGCTGTTATCTGATTGGCTTGAGTAGACGGTGGGTGGAGTCCACGTATTTGTGGATTGTCAGCACGAAATGTTTCACAATTCGCAAATGCACAGGACGCGATTCACAAATGCGTGCAGCTATCTACAAATGCACAGGACGCGATTCACAAATAAATGCCAGGCAAAGTTGTGGTTGTGACATAAATATATATTTGTGAATATGTTTTTTATTTGCAAATCTCATTTTATTTATTTGTGAATTTAATTCATGTTTGTGAAACTTTAAGATTGATTTGTGGATCTCATTCTATTTATTTGTGGATCATAATCTATTTATTTGGAATTAAGCAACAATTCTACCCCATAGTTCATGCTTAAAACAGACTAAATAAAATTATAGGTTTAGTTAACTTTAGTTGGCTTTTTAAGTTATATCAACAATTTAAGTTAGAACTAATTACAGCAACATTAAAAAATTAAATAAAAAATAAAAACAACAAAATTACTAAAACTTTAACAAAGATTTAAAAAAGGAAAATATAAAGATAAAACAAATTCAAGCTATTTTAAAAAATATCATATCCACCAGAAAGTAGGGCTGCATGATAAATCGAAATCGCGATTCGACAGAAGCTGTGATTGTCATGCGTATCTTTCAGGGAAGCACGGTTCTGTGATCAGCAGTAAATCTCCATCCAAAGGCCAGAGGGCGCTCTGATTATGAAATCGAACGATTTCTTCGATTTCATAATCGCACAATAAAATCTGCGATTTTTTTGCGTAACTTGTCAGTGAACTATGGCTATGTGTATGTGTAGTAAATTCTGCTCCATCTGAAAGCACGTGATGATGATTTCCTGCTGATTACAGAACCGGCATTACTAACAAAATGCGCACGACAATCGCATTCGATTAATCGTGCAGCCCTACCAAAAAGACAATACAATTTTGGTTGGACCTTATTGAGACTTTATCAGACCTCTGACTTGAACTGTACTTGTATACAACATGTATTGTTATCCTGCTGAGCCCACCGAACTCAACTTTTTTTTGTGTGTGTATTTTATTTACATCTTGGGTTCTGCTGTAAATAGTTATAAATCTAAAATGTGTAATAAATAAAGAATTTTAAAAAACTATAATAGTATCTTAATATTACTAAAACAACTATAAGGTTCAGTGTTTGCTGATATAATGATTAATTTAATTGCGGGATCAAAACTGAAAAGTATGTTTAAAAAGAAAAGCTTATCATCCAGCAGACCAAACAAACAGGAACAGGATACAATAATTGATTTAGGAGAATATGCAAACTGCAAACACATCACGACAACCAAAAACAGCTTAGAAATCATTCAGTGGGAATCACTCAAATCACTCAAACATATGGATAGAGAGTTTTTGCCTGGGCAAAGACCTCAAACATTTTCTTCAAAACGTACAAATTTAGTTAGTTCAGTGTTTGTGGAAATATATATAGTTAAATCCTATTTCTAGTTATAGCTTTGATGTATCATTGTTCATTTAAATTGAACAATTAGCTGTTGTTGAGAAATCTCCAAACACATCGTGCAGCCCTACCAAAAAGACAATACAATTTTGGTTGGACCTTATTGAGACTTTATCAGACCTCTGACTTGAACTGTACTTGTATACAACATGTATTGTTATCCTGCTGAGCCCACCGAACTCAACTTTTTTTTGTGTGTGTATTTTATTTACATCTTGGGTTCTGCTGTAAATAGTTATAAATCTAAAATGTGTAATAAATAAAGAATTTTAAAAAACTATAATAGTATCTTAATATTACTAAAACAACTATAAGGTTCAGTGTTTGCTGATATAATGATTAATTTAATTGCGGGATCAAAACTGAAAAGTATGTTTAAAAAGAAAAGCTTATCATCCAGCAGACCAAACAAACAGGAACAGGATACAGTAATTGATTTAGGAGAATATGCAAACTGCAAACACATCACGACAACCAAAAACAGCTTAGAAATCATTCAGTGGGAATCACTCAAATCACTCAAACATGGATAGAGAGTTTTTGCCTGGGCAAAGACCTCAAACATTTTCTTCAAAACGTACAAATTTAGTTAGTTCAGTGTTTGTGGAAATATATATAGTTAAATCCTATTTCTAGTTATAGCTTTGATGTATCATTGTTCATTTAAATTGAACAATTAGCTGTTGTTGAGAAATAACAACAAATGATCTTTGTTTTTCTTCCTTTATAAAGGAAGTGGACGGTTACAGCACCGGGCAATTATTGAGCTAAGAAAGATCTCCAAACACATGACAAACATAAACGCCAATTCAATCAAAGGCCCTAAAACACTGGCGCTGCTGTGGAGGTTCTCATACTAAGTTAACAGGGTCAGTTAATTTGAGTCACAGTTCGGCTAACCAAAACCAGCTGATGTTTTCTTCAGACACTATACAGTTTAGAAGTCCTTGGAATCAGGATGAAATGATGTCTGTGAATAATTGCATTTGTAAATATAACCTGGGGAAATGGAATGGAAATTTCCAAGTTTGCAGAATGTTCGATTGCGTTATTGTGTGTTGTGGTTACTTGCTAATGGTGAGAGAATTACAGGTATCTAATTTGGTGTAATTTAATGCAAACAAACATACAAAAGGGCTGAGAGCCAGAAGACTTTTAAGAAAAAGGATGTATATGTATTTATTATTTTTATGAGACCAATGCTGCAACCTCAAAGATTATTTAAGTTGCTACATTTAAAATTTTGTAATAAACACTGATGCAAGAATTTTTCAGATAATTAGGAAATCATCTGATGAATTACTATCAAAATAAAAAATAAAAATGAGTCAAAATAGTACTTCCTAGGATGAATAGCATAACAATATTGCATATATTATACACACTGTGTCATGTTTTGTTGGGTAACATCTAAACTGGTTTTATGGGAGGAAAAAATAGGCCTATTATTTAATATGACTACCTCAAGCTGACTAAAAATAGATTAATCCAACAGAAACACATTTTAGGGTCAGATCAGTTAGAAATACATCACTGATGTACATTTCACTTTTACATTTGAACCACAGTTTTTGCCATGTATAATTTGTAATTCATATTAAACCTGTATTACATTATATACAACAGCTGTCATCATCTAAAGTCGACCAACAAATCTTTATATATGTGTGTAAAAAAGTCTCCACAGCAATTGGAAACAATAAACCGTTCACAAAACCTAGTCTTTACAGAAGCAACTGCACATGAAGATTAGGATGGAAAGTTGTAAACACTCTGTGATCTGCCTAATTAACTTATCCTTTCCAATATGTTAAAGACCTGGACTCATTATGTCCCATTTTCCCATTTTCTGCATATCAGATTAACTAGCAGTTGTAATTAAAACTATTCAAACATTTTAAAGAAAACATTCTTGCCGTTCATGATAGGTCATCCTGCCATAAAGTCCAAGGGGTTTTATTCTATTGCTTATACTTTTTCCTAAAGTGATTTAATATCCTAATGTAATGATAAAAATGACATTCTGAAAGTATAATTCATTTGAGAAGCCTCGGTGT